GCCGGAGCCCAGCAGGTGGAGGCTGCGGTGGCCGGGAGGGCACCACTGCACTCCAGTCTCGGCGACAGAGTGAGACTCCAACTCAAAAAAAAAAAGAAATTTAGCATTTCTTTCCATTGTCACTGTACATAGGAAGCCACAATAGTATAGTAGTACCCGTGATCACACGGTCACTGACAACCACAGATGTCTTTAAGTCATAGTGCAGTTGTCACAGACACCCCGAATGAGCATTTGTGCTCATTACGACTTCCACAGTACCACAGTACTCAGACCTGTTGCTAGATTTTATTTAATACCTCAGTTAAGAAGTCATATGCATACACACACATTAATAAAGTGCAAGACAAAGATACAAAAAATAATGTGCATCTATTTGCATAAGAAAGGTATTGGGTGACATATTGGAAATTATCTTTGACCATAGCCAATGCAAGAAGCATCTCTAATTAATACTCAATGGCAAAATATTAGAGGAAAACTTTATAAATTTATGGAGATGACATGGTGGAAGGAATAAGTGTAATTTAGGAATGTGGTTTCTGGGAATTTATGTGTTGACAGAACTTGAGAAAGGTAGGGGATGTGTAGATAACATTACAGCAAGGGTCTGAAAAGCCATAGCCACATCCTATGTCACCTGGCAGGGTAAGAGAGGGAGGTGCCTATGAGGGGGAGGCTCCAATGTCTGACAATGGGCTTAGGCCAGGATACAGGGAGGAAGAAAAGAGGACTATGGCTTCAGAGAAGGGATGCAGATTCCCTGGTCCTGGAGGAGTGGGCAAGGATCCTGCGGGTGTGGGCTGGCCGCCACAGCAAGTATGGGTGGGCCCTGGAAAGCCCAAAGTTCCTAGAGCAGAGACACGTGGGTCTGTTGACAGGATCACCCACGGAAAGGTTGGAACAAAGGGCAAGAAAGCAGCTCTGAGGGACAGGGGAGGAGGTGTCCTTCCTACTTCAGGGGTCACTAAAGCAGGGCTGGTCTTGGGAAGTGGGGTAGTAATCCAGACATGCATGGGGCTGAAGGAAACAGGTGTGTGGCCAGGGTCCCCCAGATGAGCATCTGGTCTTGGCCATGCAGGGAAGGAGCGTGCCCTCCACGGTGATGGGTTGGCTCAGTGCACCCAGGAATCGGTGTCCATATGCCATCTTCACGAAGTTCACTTTGATGGACACCAGTTCACTTTGATGCACAGAAGTAATAATTGCTGCCATTTATTGGGTACTTCCTATGAATTCAGTTTTTGTCTTAATTGGAATTTAATATCTATGATTCACTTTCATCCTCAAATAACCCTATGAGGTCATTACTGTTATTATTCCATTTAATAGACGTCTTGTATTATATTCTATGCTAATTCAACTCTGAATACAATTATGTGGTAGAAGCAGCTATCCTGATTTCAGAAATTCCTGTCAGTAGTGTGGTATACACACACACACACACACACACACACACACACACACACCTCATAGATTGTATTACAGTAGTGTATCTCTTGAAATCTCTCAGCCTGCAGCCTAAGACATGCTCAAGGCACCAGACAAGTGGCCCCTTAACCTGGAAGAGAGGGACAGTGCCAGAGGCGACTGGATGTAGTGGGTGTGGCCAGTCATGAGAACGCTGGTCCCCCTCCCCAGGTTTTGAGAGAAGACAAATAATTGATGGAGTACGGAATCATACTGGGAACTAAGTAATCAAGGGAAACGTTTCAGCAGGAGTTGGACACCAGGAACCTTGAGCATCTCCTTGTAGTGACTGAAAACAATGACAACAATGAGCTAAGACTGTGTTCCAGACTGTAAGTTCAGCGTGACACGCATGATGCCAACTCATGTAAATGTCATGAGATGCAGATCTTACTATGGTCCATGGTTGGCATTTAGGAGACACGGGGGGCTGCATGTGTATGCTCTGCAGTCCAAGGGCCATGCAGGCACAGAGGACCTCGAGCTCTCCTGAGTCACGGATCCATCTTGGAAGTCAATAGCAGGGCAGACATGTGGATCCATGCCGGATGACCATGAGGCTCTGTAAAGCAGGGGCTTGAGCCTGCCTATTCAGCCCTGAGGCACAGAGTGTTGGGTGGATGCCAAATTGAAAGGTGTTGCTGCCTGGGACTGGAGACAAGGAGTCAGGTAGGGACACCTGGATGATACTTGGAACTCAGCACCAAAAGGTTCGACTTGGCTCCAGCTAAAAAGCGCTTCCTTCCCATGTACTCACCCTGTTCCCGAGGGTGGCCTCTGTTGGCCTCTGGGAGTTTGAAACTGCAGGTGGTGAGGGTCAGAGAAGGGTGTGGGAGATAGAGAGAGAGAGAGAAAGAGGAAGGGAGGGAGAGACAGAAAGAGAGACAGAGGAAGAGACTGAAAGAGGGAGGGAAGGTGAAAGAGGGAGGGAAGGTGAAAGAGAGAGAGAGGGAGGGAGGAAAGGAGAGACAGATAGAGCTTGAAAGAGACTGAGAGAAAAAGGGAGGGAGAGGAAGAGAGAGGGAGGAAGGGGGAAGCGAGGGAGAGAGTGCGAGAGAGACAGAGAGACAGAGAAGGAGAGAGAGAAGAAGAGAGGGAGGGAGAGAGGGAGGAAAGGAGGAAGGGAGGGAGAGACAGAGAGAGGAGGGAGGGAGGAATAGAGAGAGGGAGAGAAGGACCACAAGAGACAGGGGGAGAGAGAAACACACAGGGGAAGGAGAGGGGGTGAGGGAGGAGAGAGCAGGAGGTAGGGAGGGAGAGAGAGAAGAAAAGGAGAAGGGGGAGGAAGGAGAGGGAGGGAGAAAGGGGGAGAAGGGAGGAAGGAGAGGGAGGGAGAAAGGGGGAGAGAGACAGAGACAGAGTGAAAAGGAGAGACAGTGAGAGAGAGGGAAGGAGGAAGGGCTGAGGAAGAGAGGGAGGGAGGAGAGAGGGAGGGTGGAAGCGAGAGACAGAGAGAAGGGGAAAGACCAGGAGAGACAGAGAGAGACAAGAGGGACACAGAGAAACATGGGGAGACAGGGGAGAAAGAGAGAGAAAGGGAGAGAGACACAGAGAGGAAAGGGGGAGAGAGAGATGGGGGAGGAGAAAGAGAGAGGCACACAGAGGAAAGGAGGGAAGGAGGGAGATAGAGACAGAAAGAGAGCTAGAGGGAGTAGTGTGCCTCCCCCACCCCCCCCCACACACACACTGAGGGAGAGAAGGAAGGAGGGAGGAAGGGAGGGAAAGGTACGGAGGGAGAGATGCAGGGAGGGGGAGAGAGAAGAGGAGGAGGGGAGAGGGAGGGACAGAGAAAGACAGAGAGATAGACAGACAGAGACAAAGAGACAGACAGAGAGACAGAGACAGAAAGAGAGAGAGAGAGAGAGAGAGAGAGAGAGAAATACCCAGGAGGTTCAGGGAATGGGAGCCCACCTGCCACCTAACTCCTCTTCCTGTCCCTACCTGTGGTCTTGGTAGAGCCTCTCAGGTTACAGGTAGGGACCAAGGTGGTGAGGAGTTGCCTGAGCTGCCTGGGGGCAGAGAATTGTCCCATCCTTTCTCAGTGGCACCTCTCACCTTCAAGACCAGGCTGCCCTGTGGGCAGCTGTGGGAGGACTAGGTGTCCAGCTGGGCAGGTACTGTGCTGGTCAGACCTGGGTTCCCATCCCAGCAAGGTTGCCACCTGCTGTGTGACCAGGCTCCTTGCCTCCTTCTTCATGGAGTGCTCACCTCAGGGGATTGTGGTGAGAATTAATCTGGTCCATGACCCTTTGAATACACATCTACACTGCATTCCTTCCTTAACTTCACTGACAGAGGTCTTGGAAACTGATACTTTAAGTGGACCAAGTATAGTAGGTCCTAGAAGAATATCATTTTGTCCAACTTTGTTTCATGATGACATTGATGAGAAATGAACATTGACTTTCTTATATGTCAGTGCACTTGAAGCCATAGTTTCTAATAAACTCTCCATGGCAGTAAGTAGGGACTCAGTCTTCGTTGCAATCATTTCTTTATATATAATGATCTCTTTTAACATAGATAGGCAGCCACTTTATGACAGAGTCTTTTTTCAATTTTATATTTATGTACTTAATTTCTAGTACCTAGCAAAACCCTTAATAATGTTGGTAAGTGTAATAACATCACGTATCTCAGGATGGGATTTCAAGAAATAAGTTGTCCGAGTAAGCAAGAAACCATGCAGACTCTGCAAAATGGTTTGCCTCCTGGGGTCACTGTGTACCTTGGAATCCTAACACCAGTAGATTTATGTTCTGAGGAGATTCCTATTCTTTCGCTTCTGTCTAGAAAAGAACTCCAAGGTATCTCCCTCACTCTCACTGGGAAGGATGTCCCTGCCCCCAGGGCTCCTGGGTTTCTTATCCCAATGCATTCCACAGCTTCATTCTGAGGATTTGTTGTAAACTGATCAACTACTTTTGTATTCCATAGACCCAGCCTAACAGATGATCTCCGGCCTTGTAAACAAAACAACAGGATTGATTACCTAATAGGGCAAATGCAATCCACTCTTTTAAAAACTGTAAACTACTGTTGGAGTCCTGTCTCAAATTTTTTGCGGACATAGCTGTGTGTATTCTGCTTTACAAGTTAAAGCCAGTGTGGTCTACAAAAACTTAAGAACTCTCAGAAAGGTGAGACTAGATTGCAATAGTTATTTTACTACAATGCAAGACAAAACTAGTGCTTACCTACTGTTTTGTGAGGGTGATGATTATGAAATATATGAACACACTTTTAGATAAAAAAAGTCATAAAATCATTTTAAAAGCTGATAATTTCTCTTTTAAGATATTATTTTTAGAGATGTCTCTATCTACATTTGAAGATATTTTTATCACCTAAGATTCTATTCATGACAATTTAGAGTCAAGTTGTTTTTGTTTTTGTTAAACTGGTCTCTGCTGAAGCAAGGGCCTAGACACTAGTCAAGGGTTCAGGAGGAAGAGGTGTAAAGAGGAGACGCAGACGCAGGACGTGGTATTGTGACATGTCACATAACTTGAAATGATTTGACAACTGGACAACATCTTGTCTCTTTTATTAGCACATTCAAACAGCAGCAGGAAAACCACCTTCCATTTGATTCTTACTGAGATTTATTGTTTTTAATAATGCCACTTTTCAGAAGTATAGACATGTGCTCACTCAGACAGGCTGACAAAGTGAAAACTCGCATGTGATGCAAAGTGCCCACTGGGCTGTAGATGGAGACACAATAGAGCACAGTGACAGTTCAGTCAACACCCGCAGCAGACGGCAGACCCCAGCCTCCCTCCCCACAGTTCGGCTCCCCTCTGCCCTGCAAACCCCACAACGGAAACCTGGCAAACATAGAACACAGATGGCTACTGACTGACATGAAAAGTAAGTTTTATTAAACATGTTTACATACATGAGTTGGAAGTTCATTTAAAAGCACAGGGGAGTGTTAAGACAAGTGGTCAAAATAGAAAGAGACTACCCAATTATAATCAGTTGAGTGTTGGCCACTAAGACGGAACGGAATCTAGTAGAAGTGCACCAATGCTTCGGTTCTTCCCGCTCAGCCTGGTGAGCAGGGCTCAGTCTGTGCCCCGTGGAACAATGGGCAGATAATTCTGGCATGTGTAAATGATAGTAAATAATTCACTTGGTGCAGGCAGTATGTCTATGGATTAAAACCTAGTGTGTACACAGTGTCTACATGTGTTACAGCCCCACAGTAGGAATCTACACCAAAATATTCATTAGAAGGAATTTGGTCCGTACTACGTCACGTTTTCCGGAGGGTAAAAAATAAAGTCCATCTATAGACATTTCAGTCCAGACCCACAGATGGAGTCTGGCTAAAATCTGTAAAATGTCTATAACAAAAGTGGATGGCTTAGAGTTCTTGGTTATTTCGGGATCGTCATTAACAAGCAAACTGTACAAGGACATGCAACATACAAGCTGGTCTATGTGGAGCTAACATACATGATTAAATAACCTTTTTTTTTCTTTTTTTCTTTTTCTTTTTCTTTTTTTACAAAAGTGCATGCAGCTTTGAACAGTTCCAAGTCATGCTGCTCTACTTGTGTGACCACAAAAGTCGAGTGACTCGAGAAGGAAGGGAAGACGTGAGATGCACCTGCAGAGACTGCGGCTGGCAGCACACGTACGGAACGTCACAAGGGAAAGTCAAGGCTGAGAAAAACTAAATGAAGAAAATGCAGATTGAAATTTGACTCTTTTATTTTCCCCCCCAAAAGTAAGATACTTTGCATTAAAAAATCAAGCTTTGTGCTTGCATCAATTTCAAAGAAATGTAAACTAAAACTTGGTTAAAAAAACATTAATTTAGTGCAGAATATTTCAACTGGAATTTCCAGTGGAATATTGAAAAGCTCAGGCATGCCGTCTCCAGCGCAGACAGGAGTCTCCACGGAGACATGGCTGAGCAGCCTGGGCAGAGCGGACAGTGTCTTAGGCTCAAATCCACCCCTTGTCACCACTCTGGGAAGTCGAAGTATGGTTTATACACACGAGCAGATTTCATGTTGGTTATCAGGAAGAAAAAGGCATTACAAGGAGTGTTTCAAAGTACAGTGATGCAGTTAGTCTTATTCCCAGCATTTGCTGCAGACTGACTTCTTTAAAAGTCTTCCATGCAAAACAATGGGAAACATAAATGAATTGTCTAGGATGCAAACAGATATGCTCTTCATTAAAAAAAGTAATTCTGTGATTATTCATTTTGGAAGAGAATGCTTTGTCTTTTGGATTTCCACACATCAGACTTCGAAGAATGAGAAAATGGAAGCCAGTGAACCCTCCCGGGCCCGCCCTGTCCTCTGGGGAAGTGCTACAGAGACTGCTTCAGCCCTTTTTTTTTTTTTTTTGGTGCTTTTGGAAAAAAGAAAGGAAGGGTCTCTGTTAGCATCACAAGGCCTGTTGTGACAGACAAAAAACAAGTGCGAATAACAAATATGGTGATGACAAAACAAAAACGCAAGAAACCAAAGCCAACCAACAACACGCAAACAAAACGCAGAAAAGAACACAACTTTTAAATACCAGGGAGAAAACACTGCATGTGGTCTGTGCAGAAACATGTAGAATACAACTTTTCACAGAGTGAGGGTTTCCAGTTTGTTCAATTTGGTGTGTGTGTGTGTGCGCATATGTGAATTTAGTTTCCTCTTTTTCTGTTAGAAGCATCAGTGACTCTCTTAACATGTTGATTCTTTGATAGACTGCCTTGTTCTGTCATGGGAAGCCATGTTTTAAACAACTGGGACATATTATTGAAAACTACTACAGGCAAAACACAAGTTGATTGTCTGTCTCCAACAATGCTTTGATCATGAAATATCTGGTTCAGATTATTATCCTGGAAGGTAGAGTTTCATTGGCATGACTCCGGGATGAGTTCACTATGATCGGATGCAGGGAGGACCCGTTGAACTCTCCAGAGACGACTGGGAAGCCCGGCGGGTGAGGGGGGTGAGTGTGGGGTCCACCAGTGAGGATGGCGGGAACAATTTGTACCATCCAATCACCATGCTGGACAGGTCGAGTTCCTCCAGCAGGATCTGAGCCACACCCATGAAGCATTTGTGGTCCATTCTGCCATAGTCGCCCCAGACAATCACCTGCAGGGAGAGAAACATAACCTCATTTGAACTTCCCTCTCTTTCATGTAGAACGGAGCTCAAGCAAGTATTCTATAGAAGTGGGCCAGTCAGTGAAGGAGAGAAATGAATAATGAACGTAACCAACACCATGGAGAAGGATCTTACAAGAAGAACTAGTGACCTCAAGGTGCTTGGAGACACTCCACAATGATGTTTAGATTTGATGGATACAAATGATGCTTCCCTAGTCTAGGAGGGGCAGCATCCACAGAAGTCATGTTAAAGAAATAAACACATATGTCTATTCTTACATTCATTCAGCAGCTCTCTAGTGTAACTACAGTCTAGTAAGCAATGTGGAGGGTCATAGAAAATTAAGATCTGCAACTATGGAGGGGGCAGGGAGGGAAGGGGAGGTGGGATTAATGGCAGTCAATATCTGTCTGGGGACGGGGGACACACCTCATCAACAAGGGTACCTGCATAATGCATATTTGTATACCTAACCCTTAACTGTACCCCCAAATTTTAAAATAAAAAATATTTATAAAAAAAAGAAAATTAAGATCTGCATAACCTAGGAGGGCAAAATGAGTAACCAACTCAGTGTGGCTTGTCATGTGTGTACAATGAAGAAGGTACAAACAATGGGAGTATTCCTTTGATTTATTTTGTATTACAGGCTTGTTAGTGAATGGGCTGGTTGAAAAACCACTGTGAGCTGGTTCCCTTTGAGGACTTGCTTGCCAATTTTGATCTGATCAGATGAGTAATATTTCGGCAGGCTCACCAACAATGGCCACAATCTGGGTCAACTCTTATCAATGTTGAACAAGCTGTCCATTTCACCTACTCTAGGCTCTGTTCTCTGACCCCACAATCCTCTGAAGGTTCTCCACGAATGTATTCACCTGCTTTACCCAAGCAGCATTGGTCACTACCTTTTCAATTTACTGAATAATTCTGCTAAATTACTTAATCTCCTGAGCCTTGGACATAATCTCTAAAATGAGGCTACTGATGTTTATTGTACATGGTGGTTACAAAGTTTAAACAAGGTAATGTAAGCAAGCATCTAGAAACACATCTGGCATCTAGCCAGGATCAATGCTGGTCCCTGAACACGCCTCTTTTCCTCTCTCTTCTTCCTCCATGCTCTATGTCTGGGACACAACAAGGCTTAATCAACTGTTGTGAGCATTGTTTTCATTGATAAACCTCTATCTGTTTGTCTATCATGCACCATCTATCAATCAAGGAGACAGAAGGGTTGGGGAGTAGGGAGAAGGCAGAATTAAGGGATGGAGAGAAGGAAGAAATGAAGGAAGAGAGAAGATAAAGTTTTCTATTAGATTCACCAGATATTTTTCATAGTATACATTAATTATATTATAAATTAACTATTTGGTATTTTTTTCTACTCGAGAATATTATGCTACACTTATCTTTACCAAATCATATCCTCTTTGTGTCTGACCACCTCTTCAGTGCATGGATAATGTCGATCTTGCAGTATCAAAAGGCAAACAAACCACCACCAACCTGAAGAACTTTCCCCTGTGGACTTTCATCAAATACCAAGGACTGCTGATACAAGGGATCCAGGGTTTTCCGTGCAATTCTCGTCTTCTTCTTGGCTATACAGGCCCCATTTTCCAGAAGATAAACTTTGACATATGGAGCTGAAGATATATTAACACATATGAAGTTAATATTTAAATTCAGCTGATTTTTGTTAGAGAATGCCTTATTAGAGAACTAGAAATGATTACATAACGTTTCCCATCAACTATTTAAATAATGTACAATTCCCATAGCACTGTCAATTCTGTTCCTTAAACCCACATGTATGTTACCATCACTGTCTTTCTCCTCATTTCAGGTGAACTTGTATACAGCCACCTTCAGACTCGGCCTACTGGGGTCATGGCTGGTATCACAATGAAGGCTTATGTCTTAAAGCTCATTGCTTCCTCTTTTTGATTAGAATTATATTCTTTTTTCTTTTGCCTTTATAAATGTGCAGAAAGAAAGTAACTGGCATAAGCTAAAAAAGAATCATAGCTAAGCTTTTAAAATTATGACAACACTCTTCCTAACTCCTTCTGACAGAATAATTGTGTGAGTGGACCCAGGTCATTTGAGCAGAATCAAGCGACACAACTGCCTTTTACTCCATCAACTGACACAAAGCAAAGCATGTGAAACTCAGGTATGGCCACCTTCTTGAGTTTTTTGCCCATTTAATATTCTCTTGCCCATATTCAGAAATGCTATTCCTTACCAGGTGTGGACTTGGAGCCAGGCTTCTGCGTGAGGCTTCGTGCTCTAATGACTTCAACTTCCAGCTGGCCCTTTTTATCCTCCATTCCAATCTGAATATCACCTGTAAGAGGCAGGAGGCAAAGTGTTTCAATTCCTTGCAGTCACATGCATTTAAAGAAAATGAGAGGTTCATGACAAACTCCAAATTATCATCTTCATGATTTTGATTAAAAAAACCCTAATATTGATACCTTCCACCCCACAACTCCACTTTTCTTTCCAAGACTTCAATCAAGTTTTGAAATGTGTCTCTCATTTGTTTTGATAATAACGCATCTTATGAGATCTACAAATAATTTTATAAATCACTAACTATAACTATATTGAAGTATTTCCATTATTCTTATACTTAAGAAGATTCACTCTCATTTCATCCAGTATATTTACTTTTGAATAAATAATGTAATTAACTGCACTTCCGTTATTTAGAGAAAGCCACCATTAATATTTGATGAGGATCCCAACGGTCTCATAAATACTTTTATTTATCTATCTCTCTCTCCATCTATCTACTATCGATCTATCTACCCATCCATCCATATCATCTATCCATCTATCTATCTATCTATCTATCTATCTATCTATCTATCTATCTATCTAATTGATCTATCATCTATTATCACCAATCATGATTAAACATCATTTTATTAGACGGATGGACTATGGCATGGGCATGCCATTACCTATTTAATCAGCCCTCTGTTGAGGGAAATACAGATTCATTGCATAGACTACATTATAATGCTATGTATGTAAGCAGCACTAAAATGAACCATTTTCTAAGAATTCCTGCACACTTATTCAACTATTTTTTGAACATAAATTTCCAAGATTTTTAATTTTCACATCTAATCACATGGTCATTCGAGAATTCCATGCCTTCCTCCAGAAAGGCTTCTCCAGTTTGAACTCACCAGAAGGGTCTGCTTTCCCAATTCTCACACTCATCAGTATTAATACTGACAATATATCTAATATTTGCCAATTGGTGCTTAAAAAGTAATATAAATTGGCATTTCTTGTTTTATTGTTAGGGAGGCTTATATAGCCCATGTATAGTTTGATATGAAATTAGATTGGTAGCTAGAAGAATAGGAGAGAGTTCCCTCTTTTTCATTTCATTGAAATGTTTGCTCTATAATTTTCAAAACATCTGGGCCTATTTCCTCCATTTTTGGTGGGTAAAGTGTTAAATATGAATGGTTGGTTTCCTCTACCTTCTGTTTCTTCCTAAATTCCTTTTAGGTTATATTTTTCATAATCATCCATCTTAAATTAATTTCCAACCTTAAGCACTTGTATAAGAGGTATCATTCAGCAACTTGCTTTCTCCACTCACCTTAGAGAAATATCTTCATTCTTTGTAGACAGATATCCACCCAAGTTGAAATATATAGAGATCTAGCATATTCCCTTTAATTTCTATATAATATCCTATTATGTGAATGTCATATTTATTTATCTCATCTCCTGTTGGAGGGTGCCTGTATTTCCTGTTTAGTGTTGTTTCCAAGAAGGCTGCAAAGAGTTTCTTGAGGATATATAACTAGAAGAGGTATTGCTGCAACATAGCACATGTACATTTTCATTTTTACTAGATATTACCATATTGTCCCAGTTGGTGACTGCACCAAATGGAACTTCTAACAGCAGTATGTAAGGATGCACATTTGTGAAAGTCTTTGCCACTTTGTTATTGAAGGATTTAAAAAAATTTGGGTCAATTTGTGTGTGTTGTCGAAATTATCAAATTAAGTTTGCTACATTCTATTCCTAGTTTGCTAATTTTTATCATAAATTCATACTGAATTTTATCAAACATTTGTTCTGCATATACTAAGATTTCTTTTTATTAGATTAATACTGTTAGATTAATATAGTAAGCTATGTTAATTGATTTTCAAATATTAAACCAACCATGCGTTCATGGGAAAAAAATCCAATTTGGTTGTGATATTGCCATTTTAATATTGCTGAATTAGTTTTGCTTGAAGTTTACAGATACTTTGAAAAGTATGGCTTGTATCTGCTGAATATCAACATAAAATTAGTTTTTGTTTCGTAAATATCATTTGAGACTTTTAGGATTAAGAGTAACCTATTTCATTTATTGTGATTAATTTTAGAATTGGGTTACTTTTGTCATCTTATTTTGTGTTTATTTTTAAATGCCTTCTTTTTGCTTCTTTTCCTCCTCTCTGTCTTCTGTCTTTTATTTATTTTCTATCCCTTAACTTGTTTGAAGTGCAATATTTTATTTCAATTATTTAAGAAAGTATTAAATATTTAACATATGAGTTCTCGTTTTTACATTTCCTAACAAAATTTAAATTTAATATTTCTGTTTAATCTCAGGTAAGACAAAGATTTTTACCTAAGAGCTCCTCAACTTCTCAGCTCTGACGTAGATATTGACTGGCATTTGTGTTTTAGCTTATTTTACTTTTTTTCTAATCAAACCCTGATTTTATTAAGTTATTATCACTATTAGTAATTCTTAATAAACTTACCAAGTTTCACTCATGTCTCTGCTCATCATTGCTTCTTAAACCCGTTCTTTTCTTTTAAACTCATTCTTCTTGCTGGAGCATGTCTTTCGGTGAAGAGCAATAGACAGCAAACTCTCAAACTTAGTCTTTGTGTGAATGAATATGGCTCTATGTCATCTTTATTCTTCAATGAACATTTGTTTTAATATGGAATTTCAGGTTAAAAGTTTTCTTTCGCAGTTTGAGAACAATTTCTTTTAAAAATGTTTTGGCATCACTAAGAAATAAAAGCTGTTCACTTATTCCCCCTCCCCTCTTTTTTTTTTTTTTTTTTTTGCTAGATAATCTTTTTCTTTCTCATGACTTGAGATTATGTCCTGGGATTTCATTGAGAAGTTTTCCCTTGTATATTTGTATTTGTATATTTGTATGTATTTACTTATTTTGTATAAATTTGTATATATTGTTTTCTCCATGCTTCAGTCGTCATTATTTTTTCCCCCAAATTTCTCTTTATTCTCATTCAAGGCTCCTAATAGAGTAAGTTTCAGCTTATCAGTTTGTTAGTTTTACATCTCAGCTTCTTCCCTAAATTGACTTTTTAAATCTAAACAGGCTACGTACTTGGTAATTTCCTCCAGTGTCCCTGCCCTTCATTAGTTCTGTCTTCAGCCTTGATCAGTATATTATTTAGCTCATCCAGTGAGTTCAAACTTTAGTCATTCTATTTTCCTTTTTAAAAATGTATGCTTAGAGTTATGAGCTCAATGTAAAATTCCTAAATAATCCAATATGCAAAATTATATGATATATTATTATGAATACATCTTTTAGAGTACTATAAAATTGTTGTATAAAATTCAGAAATATAAAGATTGAAACCCCCAGTTAAACAGATCTTTCCACATCCTACACTTGTTTGTTAGATAAAAGAGAAAAATGATGAAAAAAAAAAAAAGCTAATAATGGGAGTGGAAAGTTTCAAAAATGAACCTGCTTTCTGGGTCATTCATTCAGCACACTGTTTGTTGCGCCTTCAGGTGTCCCAGGCCTGTGCTGGGTGCTGAGAATGCCAACTCTGTCCTCAAATTGTTCCTTACAACCTTCTCTACCATGAGCTTATGTGATAGTTTGTTCTTATTTGAGATTCTGAAGGTACATATATGGTCAAAAGGAAACAGAGTTGATGATGATGGTCATAAAAGGGAGACAGCAGAGTATAAATGGTCAGGGGTCTGGGCTCTGAGTTCCTATGCCTGGTTTGAATCTTGTCTCTCTTATCTATGAGTGGTGCGACCTTGACCTTGACCTCTTTGTGTCTCAGTTCCATAACTGTGAAACAGGAATAATAATGCTATTTCACTCATAGGATTATTTAATGATTAGGTTTTCATTCTCCAACTTGCTTTCTTAAAAATACATATTTTTTTAATAACCTCTTTCACCTTGTTTCTGGGCATTACATATGATACTCTCTGAAAATGTTAAATATAATTATTTCTAAATTGTTTTTAGTTAGTTGAAGCATTTCTATTTTCTCAGGTGTGAATTCTCTTTATTTACCAGGTCAGTTGTCAACTTTGTTGTTCTAGACTTTCTCATGAGTTTTTTTTGTTAACATATTTTTTATTTTAAAATTGTGGGGTACAGTTAAGGGTTAGGTATACAAATATGCATTGTGCAGGTACCCTTGTTGATGAGGTATGCCCCCCTGTCCCCAGACAGATATCGACTACCGTTAATCCCACCTCCCTTCCCCTCCCTGCCCCCCCATAGTTTCCTGCCACTGTCAATCCTTTTCTTATAGTATTATGATAACTGTTCAAGGTCCATTTATGAGTGAGAACATGTGATACTCAGATCTTTGTTTCTGTGGGAGATCACTCCATATTATAAACTCCAATTCCATCCAGGTTGCTGTGAAATTCATGATTTTGTTCTTTTTTGTGGCTGTATAATATTCCATTGTGTATATGTACCACCATTTTTTAATCCGGTCCTCTTTTGAAGGACAGCATGGTTGGTTCCCATGATCTTGCTATTGTGAACAATGTTGCAATAAACACACGTGTGCAGGTATCTTTTTTATAGAGTGACTTGAGTTCTTCAGGGTATATTCCCAGTATGGAGATTGCAGGGTCATACAGAAGCTGATTTTTAGAGCTTTTATTCAAAATAATCAAAACAGCTCGGTATTGATACAGGAACGGTATATAAACCAATGGAAAGGAATTGAGATTCCAGAAGCAAAACCTCAATTTTTCAACCAACTCATCTTCGACAAAGCCTCCACCACCTACCACTGGGGAGAGGAGAACCTATTCAGTAAATGGTGCTGGGAAAACTGGCTGACCACATGCAGAAGATTCAGACAAGACCCCTACCTATCCCCATACACAAAAATGAACTCTAAATGAATCAGAGACCTAAATGTAAAACTTCAAACCATAAGAACCTTAGAAAATGCGGGACACACACTTATGGAAATTGGAACTGGCATCCAATTCCTGAAGAAAACACAAAACGCACAGGCCATAAGAGATAAGTTGGACAAGTGGGACCTCATTAAATTGACAAGCTTCTGCAAAGCCAAAGAAACCATCAAGAGAGCAGGGAGACAGCCCACAGACTGGGGAAAAGTATTTGCCAACTCCATGTCTGACAAAGGCCTAACATCTTGGATCTACAAGGAACTCAAACATGCTGAAAAGAAAAAAACAAACAACCCCATTTCAAAGTGGGCAAAAGATATGAACACACACTTCTTAAAAGAAGACATACGAGTGGCCAACAGATACATGAAGAAATATTCAGCCTCACTAATCATCAAGGAGATGCAAATTAAAACTACACTGACATACCATCTAACTCCAGTCAGAATGGCCATTATCAATAACTTAAAAAATAACAGATGCTGGAGAGGGTGTGGTGAAATGGAAAACTTCTACACTGTTGGTGGGAGTGTAAACTATGCAGCCTCTGTGGAAATCAGTGTGGTGGTTCCTAAAAGCTCATGAGTTTTATAATTATGTTTCGAGCTCAGTTCCTAGGCATTTTTGGTTTCTTTTTGTACTTTGAGAGTTTTAAAAAGTTTTTTCTAAAACATGTACATGTACAAAGAGCCAAACTGTTCTACAAGACTTGTCATTTTTAGTCACTTCTCTCAACTTTGCCTTTTAAAATTTTTCATTATCATTGTGTAATTTCTAAAAAACTTTTTGGCACTTGCCTCACTAGTTCTAAGCTCTACACTTATAAAATATTTTCCTTTTCTCAGTTTGAGATCTTGTTAACTTCCAATTTTGTTCTCTTTCACTGCCTTTTTACCCCATTACATGCTCAACAATTTCTGTGACTCCATTCTCCCAATATTTATGATTGTTAGCTTTTTTATAATGGTGTGAACTTTAATTTCTTAGCAGATTCTTGTTTTCCCTACATTTAATTAGGACCTTTAATAAAAGCATTTGCCGATATATTAATGTATTTATTACTGATTTAAACTTCTCTTTCTCCTGGTTGTTTACCTCTTTCATAAATCATACACATTAGGCACTAAAGATTTTACCTTATGAAATCTGATGTGCTACAATTTGGACAAACTACTGTAAAGTTTTGCTGTAGCTCTCTCTACCCCTCCCTCCACACTCATCCTGGGTATACCGATGTCTTTATCTTGTGAGAAGTATGTATTTATGGGATCTCATCTTCCTCATTTTTAGCTCACAATTGTATAAATCCACTTAGTTCATTGGGTTGAAGTAAATCCTCTAGCAGCTTTATAAGCAGTGCTGCCGATGAGGAGAATGCTTTGGGACCTTGATAGGACCCAAGTATATATTTATTCTAGCTGCCTGTCATTTAACTGCCTGTTGTACTCTAGGGTGGAGGCCAGTTGTCACTCAGAGTCTTAAGGTAATGCTAATCTTCTGGCTTCAAGTGTCACTGATGAGTCTGGTGGGAATCTGACTTTTGATAGTTTTTATAAAATTGTTTTTCTCTTAGGACACTTGTATGACCTTCTGTCAATACTCAGTGGTGTGAAATTCCACAATGACATGCCATTATGCTGAGCTATTTTCATCCACTCTGCTGGGTGCTCCATGGGTCCTTCAAAGCCAGAATCTTCTGTCTATCAGGTAGCCTGCCCTTCTTCCTTCCTCCTTCTCTTTCTCTCTCCCTCTTCTTCCCTCCCTCCTTCCCTCCCTCTTCTCTTCCTTTGTTTTTTCGTCTCATTCTGTCACCCAGCTGGAGTGCATTGGCACCATCTTGGCTCACCAGCTCATGTCACCCTCCTGGGCTCAAGGCAAACCTGCCTCAGCCTCCCAAGTAGCTGGGACTGCAAGTGCACACCACCACGTCTGGCTAATTTTTAAAATTTTTTTGTAGAGATGAAATCTTGCTATGTTTCCCAGACTGGTCTTGAATTCCTTGGTTGAAGCAATCTTCCCGCCTTGGTCTCCCAAAATACTGGGATTACTGGTATGAGTCATCACACCTAGCCCCTTCAGGGATCTTTCTAGCACAGATAAAACATATAATTTTCCTGCTTATCAGCTTTCTTTTAACTTCATTTAGAGTATATTTTCCTGGTAGAAGTTCTCAATTCTTCTGGCTTTTGCTTAATCCTTTAGGAGTTCTGTACTACTCCGAGATTATAGAAAGATGAACTTAAGTGTCTTCCAGTACTTTTTAATGTTTTTCTCTCCTCTTCATTTTCTTTTTTTACAATTGAGTCTAAAATATTAATTTTTGCTAGGTTGTGAAGTAGAGAGCCAATGTCATTAATTTTTCTCACACAGGTAAGTTGTCATGAAGTATCCTTTACTGAAGAGCCCATCTTTTGTTTTTCTGTGCTGTGAATATCACCCTGTCCCTGCATTTGGATCTACTGTAGACTCTCTGTCCTGACAGGGTTTCTGGTAATTCGAATATTTATGACTATTTTATTTCATTTTCCATAATGCCTTAAATTTGAAAAAAATGCACCAGAAATCACATAGGCGTTTGCAACCAGTAACTCCCTAGCTAAGATGTTGCTTTTCTCTTGTATTACTATTACGCTATTTTAAGTAACTTTGGCAACCAAGAAACATCTGTTTGCTTGTAGAGAAAAGAATTCTTACCCATTGCAGGGGTGGCGAGGGTTTGGCGGCCAACAAGCTGAGCTGGTCCCAATCCGTCCAGAAAATCACTGAATTGACTGTCGGCTCCCAATCGCACTCCAGGAAATATTAAGCTATCAGCAAAGGATAAAAACCAAAGGGAAAAAAATAAATGTTGAGTCTCCTAAAGTTTTTTTCATTAGTTTCCACCCGACAAATTCTGATCATGGAAGGTGAGCATTGCCCAGGCAATCTGCTTCCTTACTGCTCCTCTGGTACCGCCTCTGAGCCACACGTGTGAGGCTCAACATGGATGGCGAGAGGTGTAGACTCTCAATTCCAGATTGGGGCCCCACTCAAGAGACTCAGTTACAGTTTTTAATATACCAAGTGTTCCAAATCCCATGTAAAAGTATTGCCGACATGAAACAAAAGATGCAAATCTCCTTATCAAGAATCTCACACAGATAATCATGCCTAAACATTAAGTAACATTAATACTCGAATTTTTAATGTGGCCAATGATTTCTTGAATAAATATTAAAACAGTGTAAGTTTTTATTTATAAATAAAATGTCTATTTATCTTTGAATGTTTAGGATATCTGAGACTTTTATTTAGTCAAAATGGAAATTAAAATGGAAGTTAAAATGTATTTTTTATACAATTTGACCCCCAGAAGCCTAGGATGTGGCTGCCAAGTGCAGTGGCCTCATGTTCTCTGATGCCCTTGTCTCTGGGTAATGAGATACTGCAACACAGCGGGCATTCAATGAGGCTTTCTTGAATGGGCATATTTCTATAGCAATTTATTGTTTCCATTGTGCTCTTGCATACTGTACATTATTTCCTTCCAACCAAGGGAATTAGCCAGGCCACACACTGTTATCCCATCTAGGGACTATGAAAATAAATTTGTGAGAGATCAAGTGGTATCCATGGTGTAGGCAAATTTTATTTGATTTGTTACTTTCTGTATCACACAATAGTGTCTTCAACCTTTCTCTCTTTTTAGATTGGAAAGATATAGTTTCTTTAAAAAGTAGATTAGAAAAAGAGAGAGAGAGGAAAAAAAGAGGAGATTCACCTCCTCAAAGTAGGGGAGGCGATCATCAGCCTTTCATTGCTTTAGGCAACTTTATCAAACATTGGAATTTTATCAGTGAGTTGATCTCTAGAACTTTCATATCTGCTGACTCTTGTTCTTAGTGACACCTGCTGAGCCCCCATCCCAACCAACGGAGTAAATACAGCATCCGACTAGTTTCAGGAAGGGTAAGAATATCCAATACATTAACTTGGCGCAATTTGATTTAATTTTCTAAACAACATAGAAAAATGCCAGTAAAAAAGGAAAATCAAGCATGAATATTAAATTGGTATACGAGTAACCTGAATGGTGATGAGTGAATAATTACAGAAAATTTATTCCAAACCATTATGTCTCCAATCATGGTAAAAAACCCCTGGTCCTCTGAGACGTATTGCTTCTGACTATGTTCATCCTCTCATCCCAATCAAATAATGATCTTCTTTTCATTTCACCAAATCAATGAATACTTTGAAAACTTACCCGTAACCTTTCTCTTCACTGCTTGTTGTCATCATCTGGGTATTATAGTATGTATGTCAGTGACTCAAGTGACACTTTTGCCTTTCTTGGTTTCTTGACTTCATTCCACCAATTTCTATGGGTTGACTCTGAACTTTTCTATCAATTCAAACCCTCTTATCTCTTAAATCTGCAATGCCAATATTTTTTGTACTTATTGGCCACATTGACTTGCCTGTCTGCCATTCTGGTTGCCCACTTCTGACTCCTTTTTCCCTTTTATCTATGCCTCATGTAGATGGGGATGCTTCCTTCTATAAGCTCGATTTCATTTCTAAGACAATCAAAGTAAGGTTAGACGCAGCAACCGTTGCTAATTGGTTATATGAATTTGGTCCATATATTTCACTCCCCAAGTCTTTGTTTCTCAAATTGACTTTTGCAAATCCTTGGACTCTCTGGCTATCAGCAGATATCACAGGCAAGAAGCAATACTTTGGCATTATCTCATCAAGAGTTATAGGTGTACTATTTAACTTTGTTTTTGACTAATGTGAAGAAATGACTAAATGCCATTGACCTTGAAGAGGGTGTCTATCTGTATGGATTTCATTAGAACAAACCTCAATAATTTTCAGAAACCTAGCAATGGAAATCTATGTGCCAGGGAGTCATGGATCATACATGGTAATAAAGTTAGTGAGAAGATTTAGTCTTTGGATAATGTACAACGAGTAGAAATAGAATTCAACACTCCAGGAAATGGTTTAAGGACAGAGCCTCAAAGTGATTTTAGAATTATTTATTTTCAGTGCAGCCCTTTTATCAGATCTCATTAAAATGTCTTAGCATTGTTTATTCAACATACCATTTGATCAATTCCTTCTGCTAGATTTTTCCCAAGATTTATTCGTGATGCACATGAATCACAAATGGAGAGTTATCATGAAGAAAAGTGCAGGAGAATTATAGAAGCTTCCTTTTCTTTTTTGAACAGTAAATATTTTATTAATCTACCTCTATTCTTTAAAATTGGTTTATCTTTGATCATGTATTACTTTGCTTTAGATAAAAAGCACTGTTTGCATCTGAAAAACAGATAGATTGGAAAGAGATTCAGAGTTACGTTTCTTAGTATTGCTCTTAACTTCTTACATGTAAACTTTCAGTTTAGGAAAAAGAATTCTATTATAAATTCATTAAAAAAAATTTGTATGTGTCAATCTCCATGTTATCCACCACAATATAATAATCACTTATCTGTAGGACCTATCACCTCAATAAAAATTCAGTCTTATTAGAAATATTGACAAGAATAGGAATAAGCAGGCTTTGTGCAGGATCCATACAGGTGGTTAAAAAAAGTAAAGAAAACACATAGCTTCATTATATTTGTTTTCAGAATTAACTAAAACCACTTAGTCATAAAAGTAATGAGGAAGACAGAGCCTGAATTTTTTTCCTAAGGTAAAAATGAACTGGAGATGTTTTAAAGACAAGACAATGTAAGTCATTTATGTGTATGAGAACTTTAGACTTATGACAGGTTAGGGCCTCAAACAGCTTGGGGAAAATTAAGAAAATGGGAAATCAGCTTCTTACTTCTAAATGTTAACTCAGATGCCAGTGACAGGCCTAGACGACACCTTTCCCACAGAAGAGAGTCCAGTGATCTGTGTTTCTACACTAGCCCTCCAGGACAGGGCTCTTTCGGGCTTTGCTAGGTGACCAAACATGCACCACACTGTAAGGTCACGTCCTTTCCTCCTGGAGTTGTGGACAACCAGGTGCATGCTGGCATCCCAGGGAACATACATCTGAGGCAGACTGCCATAGCGTGATGCTGGGCTCCCAGTTAAACAAAGCAGCCGTGAGACCGTGCCCATCCTTCCACGTATGCCCGCTCTCCCACCCCAGCCGCATGGTACTTACTTTCCTTCAGAGCTGTAGCTGTTGATGCTGCCGTCGGTGGACTCTCGGCTGGGCTGGCGCACCATCTTCCGCATCTCGGCCGCCATGCCCGTCTCTGTGCTTCTTTGGATGGTGCTCTTCAGCTTCTTGTGGCCCGACTCTGGCAGGAGAGAGTCAAGGAAATGCTCAGTTTTCTTTAGAAAATTTTCCCCAAATATCAATTGATTCTGCAAATACAATGGTTAATTTTCACATAATTAAGCAGGTCATCATGGCCCAGAACCATCTGATGAATGGCGTTTCTCTACCAAGACGTGCATGGTGAGGGCAACAGGGACAGGTTCCCTACTCCAGCGCCTGCCCAAAGCTCTGTGAACCCATGTGAGCTTGTTGGAGTACTGCTGCTAAGAGCATCTGTGGAACCCTGTACCTGGCACTGAAGTGCCACAGGGACAGGCAGTGGAGAATACCTAGCAGTTTTTCCCACTCAAGAATTCTCCAGATGCATGGGAGCAGACCAGAGGATTGATGATGCCCTTTCCAGAAGTTGCTCCTGGAGCTGAGCATGGGGACATGAGGGTATCTGCATAATCATACATTGGCAGCCCTCACAGAGAGGAACATAGAGTTGTATATGATGAATCCACAACATGCTAACACATGTCATGTAACAAATGCACTCATGGAGATGGTATGTGGCTCTTGGGGTGGGTGTAGCAGGCACTGTCCTAGCTTCGAGGCCACACAGCCGACCTGCGACCTGCAGCCTCTGACTGGCTGCATGACTCCCCTGGGTCATCTGGGCTGTTTCTCTACTTGCACTGTGGATAACGCATGCTTATTTGAGCTCTTGGTACATTCAGAGCATCTTGCTTGAGCCTCTGTGAAGTGTATGTCCACACCTCCTGCACAGTGTGGAAACGGCTCTTAAGCCTTTATGTGATCACATGCTGGGTGGCAGCAGGAGGTCAGACACTGCACAATTTTATTCTGGCTACACATTCCACATATATACATATTTTTTTATAGGGTCATTTGCTACCCACTAAAAATATTAAAATGCTCTACATACATAGTTACATACTTAACTGCATATCTGTAAATCAGGTGCCTACATACACTCTCAGATAGACCATGTGAAAGGCTGCATTTTTCATTTGGTTGCTGTAACCCTTTTTGTAAATTGTCTAGCCAAATATATGCTAAGTTTTGCTCTACAGACTCAATGTGGATGCTTCTCACACATCTTTTAATAGTTGATTAGATTTTTATCATTTTATTATTCTTAACCTTTGTATCTCAATCTTTGCTTATAAAGGCAATATCTGTATATTACAAAATATTCAAATATCATAGAAATAGCGAATGTTGAATGTTCTCAAAGACTTGTTCACGACTTGGAGTTACTTTATTTTGTACCCACACACACATCTGCATGGCCCTGCTACCCACAGTCTCCACCTTCCTCCTTGACCATTGGATGCTCCCCCAATTCAGGTGCTATAAGGCCCTCTCCGTGGAGGTCTTAGTCACAGGGAGCCTCAGCCTTTGAAACTTTTTACTTTTTTCTACACTTACGTCGCAGGTGATGTCAGTCACAGCATTAAAGCTATTTATCCTTATGCCTCCCAAATACAACCAACAACCCTAACCTTCTCCTAAGCCATTGACCCAGTTGCCCATCAACTCTGCTTAGCCGTCTAATTGGCATGTCAACACTAGTTTATCCAAACAGAACTTTTCAGCTCCACCTCCTCACATGACCTCCACTTATGCCAGGTCCTCCTCCCTCAGCAAATGGTCCTCCATTCACACAGACATCAGGCATAAACCTCGTGGTCACCCTCATTTCTCCATCTGACACACCCACATCCAATCAATCCATGGATCCTGCTGGCTTTCCCTTCAAAATGCATACCAAATCTGACCACACTTCTGCTTCTCCACGACTCTGATCCCATGCAAGCCACTGTTGTCACCCAGTAAGACTACTACCATACCCAGAAATGGGTCTCACTGTCTCCATTTGCTCATTTTCAGAATATTATTTACACAATGGTCCTAAGGAATCCTTAAAAACATACATCAGAATAGGTCATTTCCTTGCTCAAGATCTTACAATAATTCACCATAATAAAGAGAAAATTCAAAGTTATTATCATGGCCCATAAAAAGCTTAACATTTTGTCCCTGGACACCCCTCAGTTCTCACCTTCCATCTCTCACTCTACATGGTCATGCTCTGAAGACTTCTTTGCATTCCTGGAACCCCCAGGGTGCCATGTCAGGTTCCTTGGCATGCATCTGTCTCTCCTAACTTTCCAGTCTGCTTCCTCACTCTAGTCAACTCTATTTCAATCAGCTCCTCAGAGATCCTTCCCACACTGTGTCACCTGGCCATGCTCTACTCTTTCTCATAGCACGACTTAATCTGCCACAACTTTGCCTGCTGTGCGTTGCCTATCTCCTAACTAGAATTCCCTTTCCACAAAGGCAGAGTTGTTGGGAGCACTGTTTCCTGTCACCTCAGGGTCTGTGGCAGTGGAACACACTGTGGAAGTTGGGATCACACCATACATGCTGATGTGCAGTGTTCACACTCCATGTCATGTAATGTAATACAAACCCACATGTATTTATTCTTTTCAACAATTGCAATAGTCCCTTGTATGGTCATGTGGCTTCATAATTAGACCATCTCTATATTAATGGGCTTTTGAAAGTTTCCAGTTGTTTAGGAGAGTCTTTGTAGAGGAAAGTCCTAGAAGTCAAACTGCTAGTGAAAGGGCAGGAATCTGTTTAATCTCAATAGCAATTTCCAAACTGCCATTTAGAAGCTTTGTAGCAATTTACGCTCCTACGAACATCCATACAGATGTCCCCATTTTCTGACCTGAAACTCTGTGACTTTGTCTTCCCCTTCATGGTCTCTGTTTTGTCCACTTGACTTGTCACTCTAGAACATGTACACTCATGAAGGCAGGGACTTCATTATGGCCGTTCTAAATGCCATTTCCTTTAGTGTTGTATTTATTCATTTAAATACCATGCCTTGTTCTTAGAAGGGTGTTCATTTATGAAGTCACTGTGGTGGAGCACTCTTCCATTCAGGCTCACACATTGACCAGATCCCACCTCAGTAATGGGGCGAGCCCCATGGGCATGTCACCAAACTACTGAGCCATGTAGAATTACAAGTGCTTATCCACAGCAGCATGAGATAGTACATCCGGTGGAGCACCAGTTCCTACTGAAAATCATGAGGGTCACAGCTAGAGAACTCAGAGAGAACTTAATACCTAGATGGTAAGGTAATGCTGAAAACTGGAGGAGAAACCGTTAAGAGGTTCAGCAGCATGGAGGTTAGAGTGTTAGTTCACTCTGTTTTTCATCTGCCAGGCCATCAATCCACCCATTGATGCATCCATCCACCCATTATCCATCTATCCATCCATCCATCCACCTACCCACCCACACACCCACCCATACACACACTCACCCACATACCCACCCACCTAGTCACCCATCCATTCATTCATCTACCAGTTCACTCATTCATCCATCCATCCATCTACCCCCATCCATCCATCTACTCATTCATTCACCCATCCACCCATCTACCCATCCATCCACCCATTCATTAATCCTCTCCTCTGTCCATCCATCCAATCCATCCATCCATCCATCCATCCATCCATCCATCCAACAAACATTTATTGAACACCTACTGTGCATTATGCACTGCTCTATATTCTGGAGACATGTCAATGAACGACACATTTCCTGCTATCAAGAGCTTACATTCTAGTGTGTGTATATACAAGAAAGGTAATGAACAAACAAAGAAATAAAGATATGATCTAACTGGTAAAAAGTGGTATGGAAAAAATTAGGCAGGACGAAAGGGAGAGAATAAAGGGGTAGAGCAGCAGTGGTTTTATGTACAGGGATGGAGTCTCAGTAAGCAGGGTCTAGGGGAGTGACGACCCAGTCACCAGGGAAGAGGAAGGCAGAACATGAGGGGTCCTGGGGCAGAAGGTGCCAATGATGGTGGTCAGGAAAGGCACACAGGAGGGGTCCTGGGCTTCCTCTCCTGTCTTTCATGTCCATGTTGACTCTGCTGAGAGGCGAGAGACTGTGTAACCAGCAGTCTTGGGGCTTTGTGTGTAGCTGGCAGTCCAGATGGCATGGAGTATAGACCATTACCTGATTTCTCTTGAATTTTCTAACACAGGTTTCACAAAGGTGATTGCTCATTACATATTTATTCACTGAAGGAAAATACAAGCTTTAGAAGTGAATAATCCTTATTAATCTGTTTGTGTTTTTAATAGGGATATTCTTAACAAAAAAGTTACATACACAGTGTTCCAAAATTCTTAGAGTAGTTTTAAGCTTTAACCACTTCCAAAGTATAAATGTTAGCATGCTCTAAAAAAAATTTTTTGGAGAAGTTAGTTACTGAACTTTCTTTTATACTTACCTAATTTTGTGAGTCTGAATAATACATTTTTAATTTTTTTTTTTGTTTTAGTCCTGGTTGAAGATGACAGATGAGCTGATTCCCAGCTGTTGAATTATTCATATTAACAAATATTTATGAAAAGGGCTTTGACAGCCTAAGTCTATCAAAAAAGAAGCTGAATAAACAGTTCCAGTTTTTAACTTGTTTTATTTAAATTCATAAGGGCTCTAGAAGTAATTCAAAATGTGAGGATTGGAAGAAACCTTGTTTTAGAGATGTAGAAACTGAAAATTTGTTGAAATATAATTCATGCAACAAATGTGTTCAGCACTTACTCTGGGCCCGGTCTTTTCTAGATCTTGGTGATACAGCAAGGAGCATAACAGACAAAACCCCACCCTGGTAGCACTTACATACTAGTGGGTGCAATGGCTACTCAACATCATGCTAGCTGGTAGCAAAAGATGAATTAGCAACTTGACTTCCTGGGCAACCCTCTCAGGTCCCCCTCCCACTCTGGGAGCTTTTCTGTCCTTTCAATAAATCCTGCTTTCTCAACTTAAAAAAAAAAACTGCATCCTAAATGTCAGTCGTGCAATCATTCCATTACACAACAGCTTAGGAAAACACAAGGTACGGACTTATTTATTTTGCAAAGAGAACAATTATTTAGCTATTATCTTGTATACACTTGC